TCGGCTCGGCGCGCGGCCGGGGACGTTTTTTGGGAGCCTCCACACTGACAGTGTGGAGCAGGGCCCGTATTTTGAGGTCCCACCTGGCTTTTTTGGGGAGCCTCCGCCTTGCCCCGCGCTGTCGGTGTGGAGCAGGGCCCGTATTTTGGGGTCCCACCCGGCTTGTGCCCCTGCGCAGACGCGTTCCCCCGAAACGCACGGAGAATCCAAGAGGATCTTCCCGGTCCGGAGCGTAAAAGAGCCGCATGGGGAAAGCCCTCGTGCCGTGGATCTGCGGAGGGGGCAGCCTCTCCTGTGCCGGAGGAAGATGCAGGAGGAAGAGGAAGGCGCATCCCGGCGCGGAGCTCGCGCTGTGCTGGGGTGCGCGACCGGCTCCGCGGGGTATTTTTACCAAAAACGTGAGGCAAAAACTTGTCAGAGCGGCTCTATTTAAACACAGAGCCACGCAGGTATCTGTCCTGCCTAAATCCAGTCGCTGTGTGCGTTTGCTGGGAAAAAAACAAGTTAAGGATCTGACTTGGGCGTCTTGCTATGCTCTTTGCAACAAAACTTTTGCCCAAACTATTTGAGCAGGTGCCATCCCTGCGGCTTCTGTTCAGCTTTTGATTCTTGCAGTGATTTCGTGGCTGGAAGAACATCCTGGCTGTGCCGACTGGAAATAATCCAGGACAGCCAAGGCCAGGCAGCTATTTGCTTAGCTTGATTCAGCTTCCAGTAAACAGCTTGGAGGAATGCGCTGGAATCGGCCCTAGGGATTGCTCCCAGGCTCGTGAAAGGGAAAAAAAAAAGAAAAAAAGGGAGTTTTTTTGGGATGTAATGAGCTCATTTTTGGGCGCTGTGAGTTTCTAACCGCAGCCTGTTTCCTTTTTCCTATGGCGAGCAGCTCGAGTTAACTGTTTGGGTCTCTCCAGCCAGGGTGAATGGGTGTTTTGTGCCGGGCAGACGGGAATCGCCGCTTTCCCAGTCGGAAAAACTGCCTGGAAAGCGCCGGGAGGGAGCGGTGCTTCCTGCCTCGGAACAGGGCGTGTTGGGACCGGGGCTTGTGACCACATGCAGCGACTTTCCTCTTTCCAACCCTTTTCTCCCCGTCGGGGCCTCTGATCTAGAGGCTCTTTGGAGTCATTTAGCAAAAAAATATGTGAAAAAAGAGAGTTTTCTGCAGGAGGAGGGTGGGTTTCCCAGCACCCGGCTCCCCTGTGCTTTGGGATGCTCATCCTCTCAGTTGAGGCTTCTTTTATATCCTTTAAATGTTTTGTGTATGCGATTAAGGCAGGATAAAACCCCCCAGTTTTGCTGCGGGGTCTTCTGATGAGAGCGCTGTGGTCAAATCCTCTTGGAATATGATTCTGTATGGAAGATTGAATAGGAACACAGCTGATTTCCAAGGGGATGAAGCAGCTTCGGGCGTGCTGGAATCTTGGGGCTTTTGGAAGGTCTCATTTACGTAATCGTTTGCTCCAAAAGGAACTGGGGGTTAATTGCACGTGTTGCATTTAGTGCCGGGGCCCTTTGCAAGCACAGGGCATCCGAAGCAATGGGAAAATCTGGTAAAACAATTCGTGCTCACGCCAAGCCGGAGAATTCCAGGAATCCAGGGGAGATTCCGGGAATCCAGAGGAGATTCCTGGACCCAGCGAGAGCAGACGGTAGCCAAGGACAGTGGCCTGGGCACAAACTGAGTGGGGCTGCAGGGAGCAGAACAGCCTTTCCGTGTGGTTTGACAACATTCCTTGCTGCTGTCAGAGAAGCTGGGGTGAAATCGAGCATGAGTCAGTGCTTTTTGGGGAGCTCCAAGCAGAATGCCAAGCTTTTTGTGCTGCCTAATAACAATTAACTCTAAATATGCCTTTATTATTTTAACAGGTTCCTCAACGTTCAAAAAATCACTCACCTCAGAGGTAAGTTTGGCTGATAAATTGCTGTTTTTCCCCCTAGTTAACAGAATGTCCTCTAAGAGTGTTAAAATGCCTCCTTTCAGGCTTAAATACGTGTAGAACACGGGCAGCAGCCCAGTTGAGGTTGCAGCAAGATTCTTATTCTTTTCAAGTTATGTATTTTAATTCCTAATCTTTACCATCTCTCTCTCCCATCCTAGATGCCGGGTTCTTCCGGACAGCCGGGCTCGCAGACGATAAAGAAGGGCCACAGAGGAGTGGATTCCACGGGGGAGACCACCTATAAAAAGGTGGGTTCCCTCTTGCACGGCTCCTGGCAGGGCTGTCCTCCTGTTTGCAACACAAACGCTGGCCAGAACCTGGGAAATCCCAGGGCTGAGCGTGGCCTTTGCTGCTGCCGCCTTCCAGGGGGGATTAGTTTGAAACTTGGCCCCTCAGCAACACGTCTTGGGTCCCTCCTGATTCACACACAATCCCAGAAGGGTTGAGGTTGGGCAGTGATTTGGTGCCGACATTTGGGTGCTTTACGGAAGCGGCTCTTCCAAATCTCTAATCCAGCTGCACTTCCCTACCTGTCTGTTAAGGAACTGGAGCGTATGGGAGGAATTCATGTGCTGCTTCAAAAGCTTTTTTGATAGTGCCTTTTGGAATTGCTTTTTTACTTAAGTTTGGGATGTAGCTTCCTTCTGCAGAGGTCATGAGTTGTTGTTTGAATTTTTTTGCTACATAAAAGCAATTGGTAACAGGCAACCAGCTGTGATAGGACAGAAACAGTGAAGCAGGTGAAATGTTTGTGGCCGTTTTCTGGGGCTTCGTGGAGGATGCACGCCTGGGCAAAAGCGCAAAATATTCCTCAAATCTGGTCTTAGACCCCAGGGTATCCCTCTGTCGCCAAATGCTTTGCTCTGCAGTGGTTTCTTCTGCATGGGAGGGGGCTGAGCTTCGTTTAGCTGCAGGAAAACACGAGCTGTTTGGATTGTGAGCCCTGGCTCCGTTTGTTTTACGTGGAAGCCAAGGGAAATATCCGTGAGCGGCAGCTCACAAATCCAACCTGCACCTGCTCTGCAGCCTTCACATTTCCAGCAAGCCTTGCAGCAGGGTTCATGTCTACCTGTCCCTGGAGCCAGTTGGTGTAAAATCCCCTGATTGAAACTTTGAGCTCTTAAAAATCTGCCCGTGCCCGTTGGCGACCCGCTGCATCACGTCTAACTCGTGTGTTTCCTGCCCCTCCAGACAACGTCGTCGGCCTTGAAAGGGGCCATTCAGCTGGGAATTACGCACACAGTTGGGAGCTTGAGCACCAAACCTGAAAGGGATGTTCTCATGCAAGATTTCTACGTCGTAGAAAGCATTTTCTTCCCCAGGTCAGTGCTCGTGTCCCCTCCGCCGCGCTCGACGGCGGGAGAGCTGGTTCCTACCCCTGTCTGTACATTGGGAAGCAGCCCCAAGCTCAGCAGTAGACTGCAGGTGTGAGCCCAGCTCTCCTGCTGCCTCCTGGAGCCTCTCCTGGCTCTTCTTGTGCCTGAGACACCCCTGTTTGGGTGAAAAATGCTGATTTGTGCTGCGTGTCAGGCCATTCCCCTTCGGCGGGTGCTCTCGGGTGCCTCCAAGAAACCTTTCGGGTACAAACACTCGTGTGCTTCTCCCTTCGAGCAGCGAAGGCAGTAACCTGACCCCAGCTCATCACTACAACGACTTCCGTTTCAAAACCTACGCTCCGGTGGCGTTCCGCTATTTCCGGGAGCTCTTCGGGATCCGACCGGATGACTACCTGGTACGTTGTTGCCTATTTGCTTCCATGCTGTGGCGTGTTGGGGCCTTTTGCCCCCTTTCCTCTTGTCTTGGTGATAGATGCTGTGCGTGTCCCTACATTTTGCCTCTGTTCATATTTAAAAGCAAGAATCTGTGCCCTCCGATTCGTCACTTTTCTCCCTGTGTCTTCCTCAGTACTCGCTCTGCAACGATCCTCTCATCGAGCTCTCCAACTCTGGCGCCAGCGGGTCCCTCTTCTACGTATCCAGCGACGACGAGTTCATCATCAAAACGGTTCAGAACAAGGAGGCTGAGTTCTTGCAGAAGCTGCTACCTGGCTACTACATGGTGAGTCACTTGGGCAGCTTATTGCATGGGTACTTTATAAATATTCAATTTAGAGGCAGGTGAAGGAGCAAATAACTCCTCAAACTGGCACCTCGAATAACCAGAACGGCTTTGAAAAATGTCCCGCTGCCCTTTGGCGTTTCAGAACCTGAACCAGAACCCGAGGACGCTGCTGCCCAAGTTCTACGGCTTGTACTGTGTCCAGGCTGGGGGCAAGAACATCCGCATCGTCGTCATGAACAACCTGCTGCCCCGCTCCGTGAAAATGCACCTCAAGTACGACCTGAAGGGCTCCACCTACAAGCGCCGGGCGTCCCAGAAGGAGCGGGAGAAGGTCTTCCCGACCTACAAGGACCTGGATTTTATGCAGGACATCCCCGACGGGCTGTTTTTAGACTCCGACATGTACAGCGCCTTGTGCAAAACGTTGCAGAGAGACTGTTTGGTAAGTGGGGAGGGTGAGGGGCAGTGCGGAGGCTTCCTGCCCTTTCCTGAGCTTTTCCCGAGAAAAGTGGGCAGCAGCCTCCGTCCTTGCAGCCTTGGCTTGGGGTGTTGACTTGAGGACGTCTGTCTGTCGATCTCTTTGTGGGGTGGTGGTGTGGATGGGAAGCAGGACGTGGAGCCCGGTTTTCTTCCGTGCTTCCAAGCCGAATTAAACTCGGCGCAGCCTCTGGAGCGAGAGGAAACGGCGTCTTCCCTCCTCCTGCCAGGATCGTGCTCCGGAGTAGAGCAGGATGCTGGGAGAAGGGTGGGATTGCCAGCTGGAATCCAGTTCCAAGTCCCAAACTGCCTTGGAGTAGCTGTGCAGAGCCCTGGGGCTTGTACCTTGGGTCCCTTTGGAGCCCCTGGAGCGTGGATCAACAGCCCTGCCCTCGGTGCCCTCGCTGCCCTCCGCAAAAACGCTGACCGCGCTCGTGAATCCGCCTGCTCCGACCTTTTCCCTGAGCTTGCAGCACTGAATGGGCCTTTGTTGCCTTCCCGCCCAGGTCCTGCAGAGTTTTAAAATCATGGATTACAGTTTGCTCGTGGCAATCCACAACATGGACCAGGCGCAGAGGGAGCACGCCATGGCAGACGGGACATCCCAGACGGATACGCGCCGACCCGCTGCCCAGAAGGCCCTGTATTCCACAGCCATGGAATCGATCCAAGGAGAAGCTCGGCGAGGTGGCACCATAGAAACAGATGACCAGTAAGTCCACGTTGGTGCTGCTGCTTCGCTAAATGCTTTATGCAGTCCTCAGCTCATGCCAGGCTGCATGAGAGGGACAGTAGGGTATGAAAATATTATTTCATGTTTTTTTTTACCCTTTGCTTTCCCTAGAATGGGAGGCATTCCAGCCCGCAATGCCAAAGGGGAGAGACTGCTCCTCTACGTCGGCATCATCGATGTGTTGCAGTCGTACAGGTAGGAAACCTGCAATGCCAGCATGAATTCCAATTCACAGCATTATTTCCCCTTGCTTGGATATCAAGATTGGATTTGAAGAAATAGTTGAGACACGAATAAGCTTTCTAATTTATTTTTATTAACGGTTTTCATTTCTTCTTTTGTTTGACATTTTGGGATTATTTTGTGGGTCTTGTTTACTGCCTTTACTTCATGTTGCTGGAACAAGTTTCTTGTCCTGAAGTTCTTTGCTGTGCTGTGGTTGTTGTACACAGGGAGTGTGCAGGAAGTGGCAAGGGAAAAATAGGTGGTGGCCTAAAATGCCTCTAACCACTCCTGCCGGGGCAGTGAGAAACAGCTGCAAGATTTCTGTTAAAAGATGATGTAACATGATGTAAAACAGATTGTGTAACACGGATGTAACAGAGATTGTGGAGACCTGGCATTAACATCATTCTTAATCCTCTCCTTTCTCAGATTTATCAAGAAGTTGGAGCACTCTTGGAAAGCCCTTGTACATGATGGAGTAAGTAGTAAAAATGCACCGTGTAGCTTCCAGCGATGGCTCTTGAAACTGTCTCCTGTTCCTGGTCCTTCTGGGCATAGGATCCTGGCTCTTAGAGGCTGTCACTTCACATAAAAGGAAAACTTTCTAGGTCCCCTCAGAAACATGGGAGGTAATAGTATTGCTCATCCACCTCAGCAAGTATTTGATTGCTCTGGATATAATTCATATTTCAGGATCCAACCTGCTTCTCACAGCTACTAGTTGCTGCATAAAAGAACCCCTTGACTGTTCCCACTCCAACACAGCAAGGTTGACAGGCTGGAGAGCCTTGAACACCCCTTAATTCAGACTTGCACTTCACGTTTGTCTCTTAGGACACCGTATCCGTGCACAGACCCAGCTTCTACGCCGAGAGGTTCCAACGCTTCATGTGCAGCACAGCGTTCAAGAAAATACCGTGTAAGTACCTTTTGTGCAGCTGCAACCCCGCAATCGCTGGCAATTCTGCTTCCCTCTGCTCGGGAAGCTGCCTGCCAACATGGGAGAACTCTTGGAAATGTGCTGTGTCACCTCTTGCTTCCTCCCAGTTTGCTCTTGCCACACAGCTGTGACTTTAGAGAAGCTGTTTCAGCATTTTGGGTGTTGCTTCAGCCTCTGTGTCACACTCTGGCACTGCAAAGTTGCTGGGTCGGGTCTTTTACCCCTTCCTGAGAAGAATGTTGTTAGTCAAGTGGGGTTTTGGCTTTTGTCTTTAAGTAAAGCCTTCTCCCTCTAAGAAGAGCCGCTCGGGCACGACGGTTCCTCGGCGGAGCTGCCAAGGAGGAGTGCCCTCCCTGTCACACGTGTCCTACGAGACAAAAGCACAAGTGACAACAGAGGTGGACGTGGAGCAAGGTTGGTGCCTGGGCTTAAACAAACAAACCACAATTTTAAAAAAGGCCCTTTTTAAGCTCATCTTTGTGACATTGAAGCCTGCTGCCTCCTGAACCGGGCGAGACACCACCCTGTTGCTTTGCAGATTTGCCAGGGACCCTGTTTTCTGAGATTGTGGGTACGTGAAACTAGATGGGGACCAAGATCTCTTGGGGGCACTGAGAAGGTCCAGGGGACACTGAGCCCTACTTCTGTGCCCCTCAGAGCCCATCAGTGCATTTTGGGGAGGATACTTCTAATCCAATTCCCCTGATGTGAGCAGGAGAAGAACTGCAGGGAGATAGTTTTCCTTGGGGCATAATTATCTTGTAGAACTAATTGCCCCAGCAAGCTGCTTTGGAGGCAAAGCAACTGGCTAGATTTAAAAAACAAGAAGTCAGTGGAGAAGCTGTTCCCCACAAAGCCACCACAGTAATTCCAGTTGAGAGAACTGAATGCAGGGCTGGTCCCTCTGTCCCCAGGGATTTTAGGTGTCTCGGGTGGGATCCAGCCCAGCTCTCGCGCCGGTGCCGTGTGGCAGCTCATGCCACGTGGTGCCACTCGTTGCGCTGGTGATGGAACAGTCTGTGCTTTAACCCAGGTTCCCACCTTGGGCGTCCAGATCTCCTGCCCAGGACACTGCCGGTGGATGAAGCCAACAGCGATTCCGTCGCAACGACCCTGTCCACCTCTTCCTTGGGCAGCGGGGGCCTCAACTCTCCTGCAAACAGGTAAGAGCAGGGCCCTCCCAGCACACGTGGGCCAGCAGCTCCTGCAGCTTGGGGTTAGGGGCTGTGGCAGGGCTCTGCGTTGCTTTGCGGGGTGTTTGCGGGTTTGGCATGGGTGCAAAACCTGCATCTTGAGTGGCCTTTTTGTGTCGAGCAAGTTCAGGCCCGTGGGCTGGAGCATGTGCAAGGGGGAGCATCGTGTCACCCGTCCCGCGCGCGGTCCCTTACAGGCGACGTGATCCTGCATCTCCTGCTTGGGCTGTGGGGGAGTCCCCGTGGCTTTGGGGTCCTTGCTTTGTGTTTAACGGCCTTGTTGGACTCGAAGGGTTTGTGTTCATGAAAGCAACGTAGTGGAAGTGTTGCTGTGGAAATGGATGTGAAGAGCCTTGATGTGGCGTTGGGTGGCCCTCGAAGGGACCTGCTGGCTGCTCCTCTCGGAGGGTTGGGCTCTCTTGCATCTTCCTGATTTGGGCAGCGTTGAGCTCCTCCGACCTGGGACAGGAGCTCAAAATATCTTGGGGAGCATGGAGAGCTGTGAGGGAGCTTCTGTCTGCGTCTGAATGTGTTATTTGTTGTCCAGGGGGTACCATTGGCAGGTGTGAGGAGGAGCTGTGGTCAGAGGACAATCCCTTTCACGGAAGCTGTTCTGAGGTGTTAACTTCTCCTCCTGGATGTGATTGGAAACCGCTTTCCTCACCCAGACTGGCACAGATTGCAGTGTCTGCTCTGAGCTGAAGGAAAGCAAGACACAATTGCAGTGAGCACCTCTTGCTCCCCCTTGCAAACCCGGAGACTTCTTGGTAGGGATCCTACACCAGAGCTGCTCCTTTCCAGGCCGTGGGCATGCCGGAGCCTTCCTTGCCATTTCCTTAACTGCAGGTCTCTCTCCTTCGATCTCTACATAGGTCAGTGGGCGTGCAAGTGCATAAAGCTGACAGCTCAGCAAAGGATTTGCCTAGAACAGCTCCTGGCATCATCTTGTCTAGGTGAGGGGAGGAACCAGCCTGCCTGAAACCTTATCCTGCCTCAGAGGGGGAATTCAGTGACACTTATTCTGAGCCTTGGCCCCGTGCTTGTTGCTGCCTGGTCCTTACAGAGTTCTTGCACAGTCGGTGCCCTGTTAAAATGCTTCAACACGGAGGGCACGACGTGGCAGAGGTTGCTTGCTGTATGGTGAAACAGCTTTTGTCCCCCTTCTGTGAGCTGCTGCTGAGCCCTGCAAACCCAGCAAAGAGTGAAAGCAGTTTGTACATGGCTGATTTCTAACACTGTAACTTGCTGAATGGCTTTAAATTTTTTTTTTCCCTCACTACAGAGTTAGCCGGTCTAGTTGGGTATTTACCCCTCTTTGGGAAGCCTCTTAAACCTACGCAGCCCTCTCCAAATAGGGATCTCCTTGGAACTCTGTCCAGCCAGAGCAGCTCTCCCCTTCTGCTCGCCGAGGGTTGGGACAGGATCTGGCTCTTTTGTGCCCAGACCACCTCAGCCTGAGCTTGGCAGCACAATCCCCCGTCCCCGGGAATGGTGCCACCCGCTGGCAGCTGCATCCGTGCCCTTGCTGTCACCACACGACGGTGATGGTGACGCGGGCGCTGAGCCGGTTCTCCCTGTCCCGCCACCCGGCCGGGAGTTGCTCGGATCCGGCACGGCAAATCTCGGAGGTCTCATCCCTCCCTGCTGCCAGGGGGCTGGCGAGGTGGCTGCGGTGCCGAACGGGCCAGGGACGTTGCCCTCCCCGTGCCAGGCTCCAGGAATAGCCTGTCCTCATCCCGGGAAGGGCAGCACGGTTGGGATTCCCCTGGCTCGCGGCCCAGCGCTGCGTTAACCTCCCGGCAGCCCCGTGCTGGGGTCTGACACACCAACACGTCACCACGTGCCCCTGGGAAGGTAAGTTCCTAGCCCCAGAGCTAGATATAGGCGAGTATTTATTTTTCTGGGAACCTGATCACGGGCCCTTCATTAGAACTCTGCTCTTACGTCAACTTTGGGAGAAATTCTTGCTCTGTAACTAGCACCGAGCCTCGTCGTCTTTAATTTCTCTGCCGGTCAGAATGGGCAATTTGCCAGTCAGAAAGCTCAACAGAAGTGGAGGAACCAGCTGAGAGGAAGCGGACAAATTGGTGAGGCTCAATCTAGGCAGAAAGGTGGATTTTTTTGCGCCTGATGAGGACAATTATGGCTCAATTTGGGTTAAAGAACTGCTGTTGATCCGATCTGCGGGGTGCTGCGGACCTGGATGCCTTCTGCGTGCTGGCAACAGGAGATGGAGCCAGTTAATCTGCTTCCAGCAGGCTGTGACAAATCAAGGGACACACAGGCGGTCATAAACCTCCCCCAGTTGTCAGTGCAACGGGGAGATGCTGGATACTTTGTGCCTGGACCATTTTCATGTGCTTGGAGACTTCTGAAAAGAGGTGTCGCTTCTTAGCCGGACAAAAGGTGCTTGTTCCTCGTGTTGGGAGTCGTGCTTGCTGGGGGATTGGCTTTCTAGGTGTTATTTTCGCTGCCTGGGTCAGCAGGGATAGTGTTGCCTGTGACCCTGGAATAAATCTGCCTAACAAAAGCCCTCGGGCAGTGCTTGGATGTTTCATTTCGCTGGGTATAGCAGGGTAGCCAAGAAATGGCACTTGTTGAGGGCTCGTTTTTAAAAAAACTGCTTTACAGATCTGTCCCTTCTGTCTCCCCAGTGGATCCCCGGGACCTTCCATACCGGAGCGCTCCTCAGAACTGAGAGAACAACTTGAAGACCTGCAGGAAACGGAGATAAGCTTTGTGAGTACCTCCCATTCGGGTAGAAAAGGAGCAGCTCTATAGGTGGACAGGCAATTACAGGGGCTGCTTTGACTTCTCGTTGTGCTGCTGGAAGCACCGGCCTGGCTGGTTGTGTGTGGATCGAGCAGAGCGGGAAGCAGATGTCGTTCATTCCCCTCTGGAACACGCAGGCTCGGGCTGCCTTGTGCACTGCTCTTAATGAGATCTGCTGCCCCCAAAAGCCTTAAATTAGGTAAGGAGAGAGGCAGAGCAGAGGCAGGGCACTGAGCTTCCAGAGTGGGTCTGATAGCAGAGAAACGGGTCAATCTGAACAGACTATCCCACTGCTCCAGCACTGATTAAATACCCAGACCTGCTTGTTTTAATGGAAAGGGGCGGCTCGGATAAAAGCCCAAACGCAGCCCAACTCAGCAGCTCCCTTCCCTTTCCCTCTCCCAGGGTGGCCTAGGCAAAGGAACCCTTGTGCTGCCCTTTCTCGGAGGAAGGCAGGCTCCTTTCCAGCATCTCCCCTCTTTTCTCTTCGCAGTGAAGCACCACCGAGACGGTCGGGATGGAAGCGGCTCACTCTGCGTGCTCTGCGGAGCCTGGCAAACGTCCAGCCCCTGGGGCTGATTTATTTTATTTTATTAGAAATCTTAACCTGGACAGAAACCTAGAAGGCTGGGCTACACTTAGTGGGATAGTATTAACAAAGACGGAGTCAGCACCGCTGAGCCTTGGACGCCTGGAAAATCTCCTTACGGCAGAGCCCTCGAGGTGGGACTGTATCCGTGCTGTCCTCCTTTCTCTAAAGCCTGGTGGGAGCAAAGCAGGTGGTCGACAGGAGGAGGAAATGCTCCATAGGCTCCAGTTCTCTGGGAAAGGGATCCGATTTTCTGGGATTTAGCCGCTTGTGACGCCAGCGTCGCAAACCCGGCCAGAATGGGCAACTCTTCAGAGTCCTGGGGGGGGAAACGGGCATGGAAGCCTCGTTGGGACAGTTTGCGACAGAGCAATGTGGTTTAATTTTGTATTTTGAAGCAAGTTTTTAATTTAAGTGTTGGTTTGAATTTGGTCATATCAACTTCTTTACAGTCCTGCAATATAGTGGGTTTTTTTTTTACAAATAAATAGGCTTCTCAGTGTTCCACCAAAAAAGTATCCCACGTGAGAGAGGCGCAACGGGGGAGTGGAAGCTAAACTGGGCGCAGAGGAGCTTTTCTTTTTGTTCTTTATTCCTCCGCCAGTTTTTCTCGGTTGCAGGATCCTCAGCCTTGCGTTGCCCTGAAACAGCCACGTGGACAGCTAAGTGCTTCATCGTGGAGGACTTGGAATGTGCGAAGCTTTTGAGGTGTCAGGGAGGTGTTTTGGGTTGCTTTGTCCCCGGTTTTTTAGACAAACCTTTTCTTCCCTTCCCCTCTCCGGGGAAAGGCCCTTTGTAAGGGTCATCTCCTTGAAGCCTTTGGTATTTCTTAAGCAAACGGACCAAACCCAGCCCGCTCGGTTCCCTTCCCCTGCCCTAGCTCTGCTGTTACATCCTTTTGTGGACACCACTTGCAAAAACCTCGCAGTTTTTATAGCTCAGCTCCCTTTTGATAACTCCCACTTATATCTTAGCCAGCATTTGCAGAGCCGTGGTCGACACCAGCGCTCTGCAGAGCTTGAAACTGAGATTCCTGCGTACCTGGCCGCCTGTTCCATGTGTTGCAACAGATTTTTGGCCTCTGCAAGATCCACCTCGAGCCTGAGGATGCTGAGGGCTCGTGTCCAATTTAAATGAAACAAAAACCTGAAAACGAGCAAAATCTGTTGCTGTTTCCGTTGTGCGCGCACAAGCCGGGCGCGATGACGCCTCGCAGGCACTGGCTGCAGACACTTACCTAGAGATCTCCAAGCAAACGTTGGCCTGATCTTTATTTTCACTAAATGCTTTTTTTAAGAAATGAAGCGACTCTTCCCCATGTTCCCAGTGGGTTAGAATCCTCCATCCTCTTTTTTATATATATATGAAAAAAAAAGTAATTTAAAAGTGTTTGCCCTTGCAGTAGTGCAAGGGATTTCTATACTAATTAGCAATGATTGCTAAGGAAACAAAGAATGTAGTGGTGTAGAGGGGATTTTTTTTAGTTGATGTTCCAGAGGCGAGTCTCTTCCCACCTTTCCACTTCAAACTTTTAAAGTGGATGCGATAAGCTGATTATTTTTTTAAGGAAAACCTTTTTTTTTTTGAAAGACCAAGTGGAACGGCCTTACTCCGGGTGTCCGGATCCAAAGGGGTTTGGTGGAGTTGCGAGAACAGTCTCAAGGGCTCTCGAACCAATTTAAACGTCACGACGAGACCCGGGATCGGGAAGATCAGCATGGGGACGACTGGAAATGTCTCTGGTGGATCTTCCGCTCTCCCTCCCCTTTACCTCTGACTCTATCCAGCAGGTTACACTTTATAGCCGAAGTAACTGTCTATATTAGACACTGCTTCTTATCTTCCCTCCTAACTCTTTTGTTTGTTTGTTTTTTGTTTTTTTACCGGGAGGAAAGAAAACCAAGTCTCATTTTTTTTTTTCATGATTTACTATTTATGAAGTCGTATTTAAGTGTTTTATTCTGGGGATAGTTATTCAGTGAGTAGGGAAACGGGGAGGGCTGGGGCGGGGTGGCATTTATATATCAGAACTATTGACCTCTGCTTTGTAATGTTTTTTCAGAAGAACTTTTGTTGTTGTCGTCGTTTTCTTTTGCGTGCGCGTTTGAAAGTGGCAGGCAACTAGTTTTAATGTCTTTTTTTTAAAAAAAAAGAATAAATAAAGTGGCTTTTTTCTCTATCGCGGCGGCTGTGGTTCTCCCGGCCGGTCGGCACGGGTAGGAGCAAGGAGAGGACGAAAGCCCCTTCCTTGGGCGCGATGATCCGACGCCAGCACCGGGGATGGAAAGCGGAGCGAGGCCGGAGCCCTTCCCTGCTCCGTGGGGACGCTGCTCCCGTGCTGCACGGCGGGATCTCCTGCTCCTTTCCCAGCCCGGCGCTGAGGGACCTGCCCCGTGGAAAACACCTCGTGCCGTGTCGTGGATATTGTCCTTTTAACCGTGTAACTCTGATTTCCTTTGGGCCGCTGTTAAAATGGATATTGGGAAACACAAGCTGTCTCTTCTCAGCACAGAGACGCAATATACGGTATGCTACTAAACCCACTAATGTGTCCAGGCTCTTTATTATATTATATTTATTATTTTACATTTTATATTTTATTGTTTTATTCTTTATTTTATTTATTTTATTATTTTTATTTATTTATTTATATTTTATTTATTTTCCCCTTTTTCCTCCTGGCGCGGCGCAGGGAGGAGGAGGAAGGGGATGCGTCTCCCCGGGGTGGGGATGGGGCTCTGAGGCCAGAGCGGGGGTACAAGGAGACTCCACACGGGCCTCCCTGGAGCTCCCGAGGCCCCGCGGTGCCACCCGGGCTCCTTCCCGGCCCGGTGCCGTCGCGCGGGCCTCGGTTCCCTCCGTGTCCCCTCGCGCCTCCCAGAGGCGGGCGGG